AACAGGGGGGGGGGGGGGCTCGTTGAAGGAGGGAGGGAAGTATTCCATAACCCCCAATGATTCCTCATTCTTTGGCATGAATTTTCATGAACAAGGTGATTCAGTAAGCACTCAGTTGGACTCAATAGGGCATTAGGTCCGATGCATGTGTGTGAGGTTAAAATAGAAATCTTCAATCACTTAAACCTTAAAATGCGTTTCTAGAAGATGTAGACTTCTTGCGAACGTACTGAGCAACTAACCATGTACGGTTTTAGCTTTTTGATCAGAAAAAAGAAAGGATGTCGAAAATGCTAAATTTTATCGACGCGACACTCCAGTTTGAGTAATTAAATATTAGTGGAAAGAGGAGGTTCAGAAAAAAATAGGACGGTCATCGATTAAGGCAAGGGATTCTCTGTAAAACAATATGAAACCCGATGACAACACTTTTCCTTTTTTAGTGCGATATTTCAAGTGAGAAAAAAGCCGTTACTTCAGGGTCCAACCTGATATATGGATGTAGCCTGGTCAGCCCGCTGAATACTTGTGATATATTTCGCTACAAAAGGAGGCCAGTGTTGCACTATCGTTAGCCTCAAGCGAGGACGAATCCGCGTCGAGAAAACCTTCAAGAAAACCTGAAGCAGCTGCGTCGTAATCTCTGCGGTTGGGCTACTCTTGGACAAATTCCTGTGGGTGTAGTTCACTATAGGGCGGAACGCGCTATTCTAATGGTTAGTTTGTTGGCTTGGCACAACTGTTTGCGTCAATTCAGTCAGTTCACGGCATCCTACTTTCCATACCTTTTATTTCACAACCTAAACGATTAAGGATGAAGTCTTCGCCGTTAATCAATACACTTTTCGAGACGTGGCACACATTCTATTTCCATTCAGGATGGTTGTAGCTTATTAAATGCAATATAACCTACATAATGACTTGCGGGACCCGAGTCAGTGTTTTATCCTCTTAGGCGAATCTGACACCAGTTTACTGTCTCCGGGGTAGAATGCTTTGTCGGCCTGGGCGGGAGCCAGTCCGAGATTTGAGACCGCTCGCGAGAGACCGCTCGCGAAGTAAGCGTGCCACTTGCCACTAAACCACTTCCGCCTTATTTCACGGCCTTATCAAGGGAAACCAGCAGTCGACAAATCGCTATCTTCTGTTTCTGATTCTAGGGACGGCTCTGGATCACTTTTCCACGTAACGATTTGACTGATGGGATGTCATTCATTTATTCGGTGATTCTGAAAACTCGACCGTCAAAAAGCAAGTTGTAGATGGTTAGCATTCCCATGACCAAGCAGTGAAAGGCAAAGCCCGGGACTACATAGGAAGAGTAATGGAGCTAGAATATGAATTACCAGCCAGCAAGTTAATAAATAAGAAAGAAAAAGCATAGTCAGGTCATCGGGGATGCCTTTCATAGACCCTGTGCCGAACCGGGGTTGGACGTGCAAAGGGCGAAGGGAAGGCGTGGCCTGGAAGAGTTCTCCAAAGTGCTCCACTGTGCACCATTTCTAGGTTGGCTTAGGCAATTTGCCAACACATTGTGGCGTGATTGCGTACGACGAGCGACTGCCTTAATTTACGCCTAGTTTTGTTCTCCCTCGCGATAGGGTGGGCGATACTAACTATATGGGCTGTGCCGTTAAGGGAGGCTGGCATATATTATAGTACTAGTATACTATATGTAAATATATATAACTATATATATATATAATAGTATAGTATATTAGTATATAATATATATATAATATATAATATATATAATATATATATATTATATATATATATATATATAATATATATATCCTTTAATTCTATAAACCAGTAACTTTTGGTGTGTCGTTTGTATGTTTGTATGCTAGGTTGTAATTATGTATGTATGTTTGTCTGTCCGTCCGCACAATCTCACGGTGTTCAAGTTCGCGGAGGCCAAACGACCCCGCTAGCAAACCGGTAACGCGAACTGGCGGAATGTCAGCATCCAATGTTTTGATTCGTGATATCGGCCTCCGCTATATGAAGACAACGCTAGTTCGTACACTCCCGAGCACATTGCACGAGCTGTTGCGGTGCAGCTGACCGTGCTGGCTCGTGCGGGGGCAGGGTGCGGGTGGGGCCGAGAGAGGGGGGGGGGGCAACTGGCGCCCCCCGCGTCCCCCTCTGCTTTCCTTCCCTTGCGCCGTACAAGCCCGGGCCTGAGCACTGCGCAAGAGAAAGAAAGCAGAGGGACGGTCCGATTGGAACACTGGGGCGCGTTTTTCCTCCAGGTCCTGAAAATACGTTACTGGCTATGCAGGAAAGTGGTGACAAAGGAACTGCTAGCCGCTTGATAAAGGGCGTTAAGTGAACAGGACACATACCCATAACGCGGTACAGCAGCATCAAGTTAGGCTTTGGTTTCAGCAATATGATATCAATGGGAAGGGGAGAATGCGTGACACCAAGCAAATACATAACAGCTGATTGAAAGCTTGATAGAGAACGATGGCGTTTTGTCTCACTCACCAAG